ATAATATACATCTTTTAAACACTGTTTGGACAGCATGTAGCTTGAAACAATACATTGACATTAGATACTAACAGATATAAATCATTGGGTTTAGCAAATGAGTTTAGAAACAATACATTGACAGCATGTAGCTATCCAACTTACACCTGATACATCATAGGGTTTAGCAAATGAGTTTAGAAATAAAGGCTGCACATCTAAGACAAATATAGGCTGTTTATTATTTCAAGAAACAATACCTGGTAGCAGACACAATACTTTTTCATGCACATTGATCTGGAAAATAATACGCCTAAATTCTATATGTAGAATTTACCGCAAGAAATTTTTTTTGGATCTGGCGAACATATAATAACGGAAAAGGAATATAAATTAGGTATAGAATCTCGCTATTAGGCAACACACGATTCAAAATCGATTAATTGACCAAAAAAATTGGGGAAATCGTAGAGAAGTGCTCGAAATATAGGTATGGAAGATGAATATATTAGAATCGCACATGTAATTTGGGAATAACCTGTTTAAGCACACTAAGAATCCGGGAAGAATCAAGGTGACGGTGTAGATTTCGGAATTAGAATCCGCGAAGAATCCGGGAACCATTCCTTTCTTGAATTTGCCATATTTGGGCGAATGGGCGAAGAAGACGTTTTGGCGAGGAAGAAAGACGCAAATCGCGCAGGGAAAGAGAAGTAAGGGAATTTCCTATTTTTTCTCAGAAGCTTACGCGTGTCCCATGCTTACGTGTCTTCAAATTAGGACACCTAAATTGCCACGTGTCAAAATATTAAGTATCAAACTCTCAAATATTATATTAAAGGATTCCCATCTATATATCAAACATGCCGACCTCCCATACATGCCTCTTTTAAATCAAACACAAAATCATTCTATTCCTTTCCTTTACACCCTTCAACCTTTTATCAACAAAATCATTTGGAAAATAGGTGACTATAATATTCGAATGGAGTGTATATTTCTGCTTCTTAGTTGTAATTGAAACTGCTGATCGTATCATTGTGTTTGGTTTGGGGGGAAATGCCTCCTCATTTTGCTTAAAGCATTTTCAAGGTAAGGAACCAAAATAATTCCAGCTTCCAAATGATGAAGAAAGCCCCCAAAAATACAGGACAACTCCATCCTCGAATTATGTTGAGTTAAGGGGAATGAACTCCCGCTCAAAAAAAAAAACATTTTGAACCAAACGAAGAAGCCCTCCACCTTAACGTAAAAAACAGACCCTACAAAAAAAAAATGTACATGACCCCAACCATAAACAAGCCAAAAAAACATTGCAAAAACAGTGTTTCACTCAAAAGGCAGACAAGAACCGCAGGGGCAGGTCATTTTTTACTACTACACATTTTAAGAGGGGTGGGTTGTAACACAAGTCAGTCAGCAATATCCCCAAGAAAAGATGATAGTGAACAAAAGATGATAGAAAGGGCATAGGCATACCCCTGATAGATGGATAGATAGATAGTGAACAAAAGATGATGGTGCTATTCAAAATTTACAGGAGGCAAAAAAATGAGTAGCTGATTGCACCACC